TATATATATATATATCAAAATTATTGATATTTATGAACATATGCGATTTTTCTCGAAAATAATAATTTAACAATTTCTACTAGTAAAAATTCATGCTGCTATCGCATTTTAAAATAAGATTGCTAACTGATTATGTATTCATAGAGAAAAAAAGTTGCGAAGAGAAAAAAAATCAACTGTAGCATGAAGTAAACGTCATAAATTTCTCGTCAAAATTCACAGATTTCATATTGGCAACAAACGACAAAATTAGACTATCGAAATCCACAGAATTTCCCCCCTAAGTTGGCCTATAGGAGTAGGATTTAGGGGGCATTTGTATAAAAAGTTCTATTTTTTAATGAGCTGACTTGGCTTCAAAATTAGAAAGTGCGAAAATTAGTGAGTTGGATTAAATCGTTAATAAAACGAAAGAGATTCGTGGTCTAGACGATTCTAGTCATTCCAATCTCGGTACATTATTGTAAATAACGAAAGGAATGCTTTATGATAAAGACTTTATTGAATAGCTCGTCAGCTCAGACAAGCAAGCAGTGTTACAATGGATAATGTACGAGGCATGATTCTCTCAATCTTGAACGAACATAGATCGTCCAAATCGTGCCGACAATGAATGTAGCACATATTCGAAAATATGGCTTCCTTAAGTCTTTTACATCTTGTCGGTCGAGTGTCTACGTACACTTCGGAATCAAATAAGGGCCCATTGGTTCTTCGAGGGATGAAAAATTCCTGTTGAACGGATTAGTCCTTTCTAATGTAATGCTCAGAGAGTGAGTGGATGGTGATTACGCCCGCTCCGAAGCTTGCACTCATTGGTTTCGTGGTATAACGCTAGCCCTGCTACGAATCGTACCACGAACACCATCAATTGTCGTTTCTCATTTGCCAAGAAGTGCTTTACAACTGCCGCTTAGAAGTTGAGGCTTTGTTCACAGAACGAAAAAGCAAACGAATTCTGCACTTTGTCAAATGACTGGCTAATTTTCTAACTTCATTGGCTAGTCACGCCGGCATAGAAGTGGATATCCCGTCAGCGGTAAAACAATTTGTGGGGAAACCCGCCCACCAGCGAGACCTCGGGCGGGGGCGGGGGGGGGGCTGTCATTGCTCACCAACGAATTAACAACAGTCAACGACGCTGCAGATATGACGAAATCAGCCTCTGCCCCTCAGCCGCGAAACCATGCGAAACAGATGGATTTCGAGGCCGAAAGGAAAAACTCGGAGCACGAGATGGCGGGCAAGAAACGTGACGACGACTTCCATTAAGTCCATTACTATTTCAGTATTATTAATTCTCATTGTCTATTTTTATGTGTGATTAGTCACCCTTCCAGCTTTCAGGCCCTTTACCCATCAACACCCACAGTCGTTTTTGTGGCCTGGTCCCACTTTCGAACACAAGCAAGCCACCAACCCGAAACGCTCCTTAGAGCTTATGTCCACGTTTCGTCCGTTGTTCATTGCCGCTTTGTCTGACGCTGCCACTGGCGGCAACCCCTGCCGCCGCCTCCAACGTTCATTCTGATCTCGTAACCTCCACTTAGCTGCACTGCTATGATTCACTTAGGCATCGCAAGTAAACTGCGACGAACCAACAATTCTCAAAGGGCAAGCGACATCTTTAACAAAGCCAATGACCATTATACGAATACACACCGCAACGAGAAGCTTCGGCGGGGATAGAGCTAAAGCACTGATACTCTGCTTTCAACCGTGTACACGAATTATATAATATAGACTCTCGCATCTCCCGTGTATCGGTTCGAATTTTTATTATTCATACTTAATGTAACTGTCAGTAATATTTGCCTACGCTGGCGCCTATGTACGAAGGGGGCCAGCTACTTTGGCAATTAGGTTGATGTACAATAACAGGCGACAGTACGAATGAATGCTAATTTTCTTTTACACTTGTGGTAGCCACAAGTTTACGTACGTTCCTATTTAGCCTATGGGCCATGTAATAGCGGATAACGGTTAAAAGTCGGCGTCAGCCAAGGAAGATCAACAGTGTGCAGGACACACACCCTGTCGGTGTTACAATCTGTAAACTACTATCAGTAATAGTAAAATGATTAAAAACATCTTAGAGTACAGCTATTTTTTTTACTCATTCGTCAAGGATTAGTGTTTGGTCAACATAAATGTTACACACTTGTAACTACGGAAGACAATGCCAAAGGCAGAGAGCGAAATCCGCCTCTGTTAATAGCCGATGATTTTTATGTTGCAGTATAATTATCTACAGATAGCTATTTTAATATCTACTCAAAACGGTGATTATTAAAAGATAAATGATTTATTTTTGTTCGATACCTTTTGAGCTTATCCTAATGTAGACAAGAACCAAACCAAAACTAACTTTACGTTAGTTAATCTTCGTCAGATATACCTTAATTCGGGCTGGGATATGCAAGAATTTGTAGAACAAAAATTGTACAATACAATAGTAGGTCTGAGAAATATTACATTATCTAGCGATATTTCGACTGTTTTCCATTTCTAAACGATAGATAATCTTCTCTTTGTTCGTCGCTTGACCGATTTAAGAATTCATTCATCAGCAGTTCAGCTGAAGTGGAATCCAATTGACTGAAGCACGTTCTCTGTGATCTAACCTAATGTTCATGCACTGACTTTAAACAGATCGTTTTTTAGTAAAGGTTAGCCACGTATCGGATGATATCTAGCGTGTGATCAGGCCGTGTAATGTTGCCGCGCCTGTTCTCTAGCTTGATCAAGTCGAGTGCTAGTCGCCTGTACAGATCCTCGAATATTTCTTCGATCTTCCGATCAGCATTTTCCCGAGGTCCGTCTGCGCCGTCCTTGCGTATCCAATTTAGATTTAGTAATGGCTGCTTCAGGTATGTATCGGCCCTTTTGGCGTCTTCCGCGACCAACAATGCCTCGATTTCCTGCCAACTTTTTCCAACGGCACTCAGCTCCTTAATGCGCGTAGTATATCTATCGAGGAGATCCTGTCGAAAACCTGAAATATCACTGGGATCGTAGTCGCCCCCAACTCTACCAAGTAACGCCGATAAACTAGATACAACAAAAAGAACTCTAAGCTTTCCGTACGAACGTCCTGCTCGCGTGGGAATCGCAGTAGCCATCGTTGTTTCGGCGTTCTTGAAATGAAAGTATCCAATGGAAATTGTAACGAACGACTATCACGAGAGGTCTGTTGAATTTGCCTTTGAATTTGGTCCATGAAGTTTTACTGAGAATCACAGGCTGCCAGTAATTTCTATTCAAACTGTTGGTGTTGCCCGCTAGTAACAAGATATACATATGTATATGTAAGTCGTCCCGTAATTATTGGTTCTCATATTTAAACGTGCCAAATGAACCACTTTCTTTACAACGGTTTGGCAGAGGATGTCTTTTGTCAGTGATCTTTCTACGCAGCTTAAGATGTTGGCTGTCAACTTGGTAGTTTCTACATTTGAATAGAAAAGCAAAGTCGGGGAGGAAACGATAGCGGAAATTATCGCAAAATCGTAGTGGTCGTTGCCGGTTCAATGATTAGATGATTTGTGACCTACTGAAGGCCAGATGTCTTCAA